GAAAGCATATCTCAAATGTGATGTCAGTTAATCTAGATACTTGAGGCTGTATCAAAAAAGAACATTTCCATATGTGATTACAATGTCACTATTATACCTACAGAATTAATAATGATTTCTTAATATCTAATATCCAATTTGTTTAAAAATTTCCCAAGTGACTTAAATGTATTCATGGTTGCTCTACACATGTATTTGGTTGTTTAGTCTTTGGAGTGTCTTGAAATCTAAATTAGTTCCCCTACCCCCAAACACACAGTAACTTGTTGAAGGAACCATGTGTGAGCTTCCTATAGCGCCTCATGGACTGAATTTGGTTGTTTCTTGTTTAACTTGTTCATCATCTATCCTATACCCTACAATAGTGATGAGGAACCTTTTGAGCTCGGCGTGCCAGCATTTTGAAAAACCCTAACTTAACTCTGGTGCCGTGTCACATGTAGAAATTTTTTGATATTTGCAACCATAGTAAAACAAAGACTTATATTTTTGATAATTATTTTATATATTTAAATGACATTTAACAAAGAAAAATAAACCAAAAAAATGAGTTCACGTGTCACCTCTGACACGCATGTCAGAAGTTAGCCATCACTGCCCTACAAGCATGTCAAACTTGTCGAGTTTGACATGCTTGCTAGAAGTTAGATCTGGAGAGGATTAATTAGATTCTGGGTTTTGTTTTTTAGCAAGAATATTTCACATTAGTGTGATGTACTCTGTCAGATGAAATCAAGAGACACCTAATTCTGATATTCCCCCTTTTAATGATGCTCAGGTTGGTCACTGGCCACATGACAGAAGAAGCCTTTACACCTTCATTGGAAAGTCCCCTGTAACATTTTTACATAATTTTTTTAAAACATGCATTTAGCCCTAACCAGTTTGGCTCAGTGGAGAGAGCATCGGCCTGCGGACTCAAGGGTCCTGGGTTCAATTCCACTCAAGGGTATGTACCTTGGTTGTGGGCACATCCCCAGTAGGGGGTGTGCAGGAGGCAGCTGATCGATGTTTCTTTCTCATCGATGTTTCCAACTCTCTATCCCTTCCCCTTCCTCTCTGTAAAAAATCAATAAAATATATTTAAAGCATGCATTTAATGACATGTGTGTGAATTGGTTATTCCATTAAGGTTTGGAATGATGATTTTCCCAAATATATCATTCCTGATGTATTTATTAGCAGGAATTCTTTTATAAAGAGGAATCTTGATCCATCCATGAATAGCACTATTTGGTTATCATGGAACACTTATATGACAGAATGGCAGGATAAATGGCCAGTCCTTTCTCTTTATTAGTTTTCAGAGTAATTTTTGGTGCCCTAGCAACCTCCATTGGTGTCCATTGGTAATTTAAAAATTTCTCCCCTTCATTATCACTGTGAGCTTGAGACTTCTTTTTTCTTTTCTTAATTTACCCTTTCAGTCATTTGCTGTCATTATTCTTTTGTTCAAATTATCCCCTTTGGCTGGTGAGAACCTCATCACGGTGGTTCTTCTGTGTAGAGGAGGTTTTTACTTGAAATATATTTCACCGTATTACATGTGTCAAGGTAATCTGCATCTTTAATACAGCTTTATAAAGTATAACTAAACACATTGAATGGAAGGTTTTGATATGCTTTTTAAGTCCCAGGCAAACTACCATTGAAGACTTGTTTAGTTCTCTGAAATAAAGTGATTCTAAGGAATGTACTGGCATGTATGAAAATCAATTTGTCGTTTCATTTATAGAGTATTTTTCATCTAAAACTTTTATATTGAAGGCTTTCTCTTTCAATGTAAATAGAATTATACTAGTATTTCATTACATGCAGGACTCAATTATTTAAGGTAGAACTGGCTACTAAATCTCATTAAACTTTCATTTGAGTTACACACACTTTCGTAAAAAAAACGAGTTTATTTTGAGTGGGCATTTTATTTGTATAGACCTCTGTGGAGCATGAAGTTTGTTATCTGCTAAAAATATTTATTTGCTATGTTTGTTTTGTACTTAACACATTGTATGCGGGAAACATATTTATACTTTCTACCAGAGTAGCAGAGCGCGGGACACGTATTAATACGTTTTTTATAGACTAGCAGTAGAATGCGGGTAACGTATAAATACGTAAACTAAAGCTATCGTAATTTTACTGAACGTTGCCATTTGCACAAAAAATTAGCAAAAATGGCCCACGCCACCTGTTAGCGTGGGATAAAAACTACCCGCAAACATTGTGTTAATATTATATTATACTAGAGGCCAGTGCACAAAAATTTGTGCCCTCAGGAAGGTCCCTCAGCCCGGACTATGCCCTCTTGCAGTCTGGGACCCCTCAGAGGATGTCCACCTGCTGGCTTAGGCCCGCTCCCTTGGGGGACTGGGCCTAAGCTGGCAGTCAGACATCCCACTGGCAAGCCCGGTAGCCCTCGGGGGATG